TAACTGGAGTTAAAAATTTAACGAATATCCTAATGTAACATGTTTTTAAAAAGTTTGGGATGTAAATGGCATGTTTTTAAACTTTGGGATGTTTTGGATGGTGTGGCCCAAACTTTGGGATGAAAAGACCAATTTTCCCTTGTTATATATTTGCTAAGGATGTCATTCTTCAACTTTTGGTGAAGTATCATTGCAAATAGACATTGAGCTCATCATTCTAGCTAAGCATACCAATCCTAATACATTAAAAGCAACAAGGGCTGATGGTGGATAGGTGAAACGTATCAAGTACATTGATACGTTTCACCACCTTCGGCTGTTAGCATCTAAGCTCACCACAAGTGAATAACAGGGAAAAAGATTTAGAACAGAATGTTCAAATCAATGTATCATTGAATAACCAAGCATCATAAAGAATAATAAAAGTCTTAAGTGTGTGAATACTCTAAGAAGGAATTTTTTTCTCTAGAAAAGAGAATCAGCTCAACGTCAATCTCCAGCAGAAGAGAATCAGCTCAAAAATCACAACTTCAAACTGACAGAAATTGTTGAGATACAACAAATAAAAACATGTAACTAAAGTGAATATATGAATGCTTTAATGTCTTGAATTGAAAGCACAATTCTTTTTCTAGTAACAGCCAAATTGCAAGAATACAAGGAAAGACGAAAGATAGAGACTCGCGGATATCATAGAGTTGCCATGCCTACAATCTGAAATTAAAAGTGGCATCCTCTATGCATTTTATTGAATTTTAATCCACCAACTAACCAAATCTTAAAGGCAAACATGGGCCAAACAACATGAAGAACCCCCACAAGATTAATAATAAGCACAAAAGATGTAACATGGAGACTCGCAAATATCATAGAGTTGTCAACCCTAAACATTCACCTAAATCATCTTTATTTAAGATTTATCTACCTATAGACAACGATCACAGTAATTAAGGCATATTGCTACCATAATCTTAGAAAATTATGGATAGTCGAAAGAAAAATGAAGCCATGTTGCAAACAAAACTTTACCTTGCTTACCATAAGGGAAGCTTAAACTCAATTCGATGAGTGGAATGTGGCAATATCTTAAGTGGTCAATCATTGATTGCATGACAATTGAGAATTATAAAATGACACACCACAACCATATATCAACTTCTCCCTTTTGTACTCAAGAGATTTGCAAATCCAAGTGGCTCAGTCTCTTGAGCATATGATTTTGATGCCATCTATGTCTCAAAATCTTTTAAAAAGATAAAAGTAGAGCATATTACCTCTCATTGAGGGAAATGGCAAGAGGCCTTTTGTGATTTTGGCGCGGTTCACAGAGGGCACAAGCCTAGTGGAACGCCTCGCACTGACCATTAAGCATCATGCTTCGAGGCTCGACAAACGTTAGAGGCCGAAGGAATTTCCCGTAGACCATCGATGGCCGTTTAAAACCAGAAAAATTCTGTAGCACAAGTGGCAATTTATTGGTTTGGAACAAAGCATAACATGCAAGTATAATCATGATGATCCAATATTTACCAAAGCCATCAACAAAAAAAAAATAAAAAAATTGGAGTACAGAAGCTCAACTAAACATAAGTTAGCAGGGGAAAAAAGAAATGATCAAACCCTCAAATTACACCAACTAATTACTTAGAGGGGTGCTCATGAAGGTTGTTGCAAACCAGAACATTCCCCTACTCGGATGAAAACGAACAGCACCTCGAACACAACTCTCATAAAACCCACAAAAGAGCTCAAAACCAGGAAAAGTTTCTATATGTTCATCTACTTTAAGCCTATAAATATATTTCGAAAAGAGAAAGCCAATAAGTGCATGTTTTTATTGCAATATTGAATCTTACCCAAGATGCAAAACCAAAATTCCCAAACTCGAACCAGGATTGGTAAAACATGGCAAGCAATATACGGGCATAGATAATAGTCCAAGATTGCAGAAAACCCAAACGAAACCATCGAATTGAAAGTACAAAATTTTGACATAGCTTAGATATAAGATATTATAACCGAATAGAGTTTCTTCCAGCTTGAGAAATCAAACCACAATATCGTATAGAGTTTCTTCCAACTCGAGAAATCAAACCACAATTTCGTCCCCACAACCATAACCAATAACGAAAGCAAATCTCACCCAGCAAGTGGCATAGTAACATATGATCATACTTCGGTAAATCCCAAAACTGAAAAGCAACAAAATCATTGTGGATTAAAAAGGTAACTCACATCACCATTCTTGAGGAAGCCACCTTTTAGGAGCCGGTTTATCTTTAGAATCAGTCCTATCCGCAAGTCTAAAAAAGCCACGCTGCCATCCTCCGTTAACAGGTAGATTACAAGGACCAGGCCCTAATAAACCACCGCGGCGCAGACCCTAGGACCGCGAAGCCGCTCATAATTAATCTCGCGCTGTTGGCGATGAAGTTCATCGATCTCTTTGCGGAGTTCTTCCTCGGTCTTTCCGCAGCTCAGGTCGCCATTGCCGGTGGTTCTGAAGCACTCAATGTCCGATTAAAGGAGATGGACGCAAGGTGTTTGTGGTTGTAACTCTGAGTTAGTAGTAGTAGTAGCGGCGCCCAACCAAAAAAAACCCTTGGCTGCTCCCCAAATCTTCTCCCCTACTGCCTTTCTCGCTTTTATTCCCAGGAGGAAAAGGAATACCCCCAAAAGAGAAAAGGAAAATCCTCTAAACGACGTCGTTTTGGAAAAGGAGGGGGGGTTTGCCGAAAAAAAATGAGAAACGGACCAAATTTGAAGTTATTGGGGGTTATCAGAAAATTTATTTTTTAATTGAATGTCTAATTAGTTAATGACACGTTTGGCCCAATTAAAAAATAGTGTAATTGTAACGTGAGGATGATGTCACGTGACGACCGCCCGAGCAATCAGATTGCGAAAAATTAATTGTCAAGCATGGCTTTTATATTAACTTATAGATTATTTATAAAGATGTTGTAAATTTTAATACTTAGTTCTGAAGCTAAATACCAAATTTAAATACAATTATTTTTCAAAAATCTAAATTTTCCACATATTTTATTATTAAATCTTAGAGTTAAGCTCAAAACAAGTTATCAATCTTTAATATATTTCCACTCTAGGTCATCAATTAAATTTATTTGTAACACAAGTTACCTTACGAAAGTTTTAATCCATTTCAGATTATTCTGTTAATTTTGACCGTTAAATAGTGACGGAAATCCATTTTTCACATGTTTTTGGGTTCAGGGGTATTTTTGTCATTTTATATTTTTTTATTTTTTAATCTTTTAAATTTTTTTTTTTACAATTCTTCTTCTTATACTTCCTAACTTGTATATACTGGTAGTATAATTCTAATTTTAAAAATTTATTTTCCTTTTATATTTTAATGTCTAGATTATAAAAAATTTTTTTTAAAAAAGTTAGAAATGAAGAAGAAAAATTCGAGTTAAAGTAAACATGAAAATAAATAATTTACCATTTAAGAAAAAGAAAAATTAAAATAATTAGCTAAGACAAGTTGTTTCTTCTAGGTTATTTAATTTTTTTCAACTTCATTGAATTATTTAATTATTAATTTTCACGTTTTTTATTCCTTTTTTTTTAATAATGTACAAGTTAATATACAAATGACAAATTAATTTTCAAAAATGAATTTTTTTGTCATTTGTATCTTAACTTCTAGATTATTAAAAAAAAGAATAAAAAACGTGAAAATTAATAATTAAAGAATTCAATCGAGTTGAAAAAAATTAAATAACCTAGAAGAAACAACTTGTCTTAGCTAAGTCTTTTAGTTTTTCTTTTTGTTTAAAATGGTATATTATTAATTTTCATGTTTACTTTAGCTCGAATTTTTCTTCTTCATTTCTTAAATTTTTTTTAAAAAAATTTATAATCTAAAAGTTAAAATACAAAAGGAAAATAAATTTTTTAAATTTAGAATTATACTACCAATATATACAAGTTAGGAAGTATAAGAAGAAGAATTGTAAAAAATAAAAAGAAAAAAAATTTAAAAGATTAAAACATTAAAAAAAATGACAAAAATATTCCTGAACCCAAAAACATGTGAAAAATAGATTTTTGTCACTATTTAACGGCCAAAATTAACAGAATAATCTGAAATGGATTAAAAATTTAGTAAGGTAACTTGTGTTACAAATAAATTTAATTGATGACCTAGAGTGGAAATATATTAACTGTTGATTACTTGTTTTGAGGTTTACTCTAAATCTTAATTATCGCAATGGTTCCCAACATTACCTTAACTGCTATATGTACTATTATATTATCTACAGTAGAATTTCTCTAAATTAATAATATCAGTACCATCAAAATCTATTCATTTAAAAAAATTAATAAATTTAAAGAGTTTTCTTAAGGAAAAAATCCTTACTATATTGCTAATGCGAATCAAGCCAGTATTGAATTACACATAATTCATATTATCTTCAGGAACTACAAAAATAAAATAATTTACATTTTATAATTTGTATTTAGGATAAATATTAATTCATGATATTGTTGGGACCAAATGGTGTATAGGAAATTTTTAATATTTTTACTGATTTTTATAAAATTATTAGCAAAGTTTTTTTTTTTGGTTTTTTTATTACTCTTGCATCTCATTTGAACGGGCTAACAATTTTGCTCTTTCTATCATTCATGTGCAAAACAAAGCAAGATCAACCAAACGTAAAAGATTTGTAAACGTTTTGAGATGAAGTGACCTTGAATTGATGAAGTGAATTTGGTGGTAAATGAAGGTGTCTCATTTTGAGTAAACTAAACCCGTGAAATTTGTATTAAAAAAAATGGAATGATGTATGGAATTATGGGGTCAATACAAATACCAAGTCAGCATTGGGGGAAAAAAAAGTTAAAAACTAATGAAGATCAGATTTCCTAGAAGAAAAATAGATGGATAAGAAGGCCGAAAAATACATTAGAGGGCATTATGACAATATTAGAAGCAGAATCCTTGTGACATGGCTTCCATTTGATATCTGATTCTTTGTTAAGGATGCCAACTTATTACATCGAAAAATACTCCCTTCGTCCCATAATTATTATCCAATTTGGATTTTTATTTTTAATTCAAATTATACTAAAAGTGAAATCTCAAAATGCACGATAATTTTGGGACAATTTTGAGACAGAGGGAGCAGACAATAAATTACTAATGTTCAGCCAGTTTCCATAACCCTGTTATTTTGTCCAATGTAGATTGCAATTTGCAGGTAAAATGTAGGCGTTTTTTCTTTTCTCAAATAAGCAACAGCCGATGGAGCTGCAACATACCAGAATCTGGGTTATCTTTCGGTTTTCCATTTGTCCAACCTACACGCTAAAGCTTAGCAACAGCATACTAAAGATTTCCACTCGAGATAGCTCGACAAATACACTAATATTGCTACTACTGAAAGACATTTACGATGCAGCTATACCAAAGGTACAACACTCTCACAGCCTGCTTGACCAAAGATAGATTAATGTGGAGAGAACAGACAGACAGGTAGTTTTTGGGCAACTTGGCGACCATCTGTAAAAAGGCAAGTGATCGAACTTTATGGACATCAAAAGTGTGTGGCAAATTTTCCTGCAGTACGATTCTCGGGTCACAGACTCGCAACTGCTTGCCTAACAGATTGCAACACAGTCTCACCGACTTCGGCTTTGCAAAGTGGACATGCAGCATTGATCTTCAGCCATTTATCCACACATTCTTTGTGAAAGAAATGTGTACACGGCAGTTCTCTGAGTTCATCATTGTGTGCATACTTCGCCAGGCAAATACAACAAACCTGCCCACATGACCACCAAGAATCAATCCGTAGCCAACATTGCATAAACACGTATAGAAGTAGTACCCAAGCATGGAAATAATCTCAAAAAACATTTCGAGTCTACAAGCCATTAAAGGAGGCCAAGAACCAAAAAGCGGGAGGCATTGCATAAACAAAAGATGCAAATGCACATCCACATAGACTGCAAAGTGGGCCTTGACCTAGGTAATATGGTACCTGAGTATTACTAGGCAAAGCCAAGTGATAGTGTACCATTTTCTTACCCATTAGCCAAGGACCATAGTTTTAACAAGTACAGATTCCAGAAACAACCAGTACATTCTCGAGGAAACATCTAAGTGACGAAAACCAGCAATTAAGTATCTCACTTAAATATATAGGAATGAGCGCAAGCAACCAAGAAAATCAGTCATAGTGCAGGTTTAAGGCTTCCAATCAAAATCTGAACTAGAAGAGCTTTGCCCCAATTGACATCAAAGGCTTAGAAAACTCTATTTCATACTGCCACTGTGTGACATACCATCTCCAGCGCAAATAATAATCTATTTAAGGTGGTGGGGGAGAGGAGAATGAGGCTAGGCTAGCATTGCTAAAGGCCCAGAAAGAATTAGCAGTAAGAAGAGGTAGACAACTTTGTAGACCATTTAGGAGTGCCTTGACCCCATTCAACAAGTAGAGACTGTAATACATATGAAGTTTTACGTATAGACATTGCAGCAAAAGCCAACAATGAACTGGTAGGGATACCATTTTGGAAAAAGAAAAAAGAATAAAGACAAGACGAAAGCAAAATTATATTTACCGCATCTTCTCCAGATATGAAACGCTCCTTCTCTGTTCCTGCTGCTACAATTCCGCCTTCAATCCCTCCAGAATTATTTTCTTTGTCATTACTTTTGTTCTTCTTTGTCTTGAATTTATAAGTTGGCAAGGAATTAATTGATTCTGTAGTGGCCCCTCTACTTTGATTAGTGTCTTCTCTAAAGCCCATGACCCTAATTATGCAAGGGAGGCAGCAGCAGATAGTGGCACAGAATATAAACGGCATAGCATATCCAATGCAGCTAAACGTAAGAAAGACTATACATATCCTGCATAGGAGTAGATAGCAACTCTTTAGTGAAAGAGACAAAACTTGTTGCCCTGTCCCAATGAGATTGCATGAAAAACTAAAAAATACCTATACAAGTTGGGAGCATCAGCGGACGAAGAGTGACCTCCAAAAATCCATACATTACCAACCACAAACCATACTGCGAAGAAGCAATCCAAAGCCATCTTAAAGTATTCTACGAGGACCTTTAGCCTGTAAATGAAATGTAGTTTATTAATGTGCACATGACACCCTAGATTGAGGTGGAAAGACTGATAAGAGGGTACATGAGCATGACAAAAGGATAACCACAAGAATAGCTTGGGATTATCAACATTACCGAGAAGACAAACAGTTCTATCTTTGTCTTTCACGAAGACGAGATTGGTGAGAAGCATCGTGTACCACATATTCCACACAAACTCAAATGCAGCAGAAATTTTAGACTTACAAATCATGTTCCATGCAGTAACTAAAAAAATGTCGACCAGCAAGCCTATTCATATATTTCTCTCACAGATAATGCATAATTGAGGTGACAAATCAAAGAGACAAGTCCAACAAATGTGTAAAAACTCAAAATGAACAGATAAGTTTGAAACCAAAGATAAGGGGAAGATGCAGATAGCTCAACCATAAATAAGACATAATTAGATTCCTATGTTCAACAACGATCTACATTAGTTAGATGATTCATGGTGCTCCTATTTGTCCTCCTTATCATCAAAATGATGCTAACATGTGAAATTGCCACTCTCATTTCTGCAAGATCTGCGGGCTGGTGGTTGTGAGTGCATCAACATCAAGTAGACTGCCATCGGTTATATAAATATTTCACCACATAAATGGGTTACTTTCACAATTTTCATATCATTCTTATGTTGTCTTTAGCATAGTACTCATATTTTGTTTGTAAAGCGCTGTTTGAAAAGGGTTGGTCGCAAGCTAACATATCCCAAACCCATCGCATATCACATGGCACCAGGTAATGGCTTTCACAGCCAGATAACATCAGAAAAGCATTACTAAAAGAAAGAAAATGAACTAATGATCTACTGAATGGAAAGTAAATGAACAATAAATTGGAACACATGTAGGAAAAAGAAGACAATGGATCAATCATCATGTTAATTCTATAAGCTCAAAAATCTCTAAGCTGTGACAGGTTTAATACAAGTTTCATACACTAGTTCTCTTCGATCATGTAGTAACATGAAGGAGAAAACAAACCAAAATTATCTCGGACTTGATCAAAGCCAAATAGAGAAGAAAAAGACAGTAAAGGTCAGACACGATAACTCTTATCTATCATGCTTATAAATTCAACATCTCAAATTAAATCATGAAACGGTCGCTAAAGTACACTATCAAGAAGTATAGGGATTCATATTGACATCACATAATGTAAAAGTATGGCAATTTCTAGATCAGGTAAAAGAAGCATACTAAAATCTATACAGGTTAACAATCAAACATAATAAGCATTTAAATCCGAATGTGCAACTACCACATCTTTAAACACCATTTAGTATTTCTTTTCTTATTTTTCTCTCTTATTTTCCAGAATAATCTCTGAATATAAAATATAATTTCATTCAACAGATACAAAGGCAGGATATTTAATACCTTAAACTTAGTGCACCAACATTATGGGCACCTTGAGAACCATAACCACTTGACCGACGGCTATCCCTATCTGAAGTCCCTGAACTAGGTGCCGCAGAAAGCTCATTTTGAGTTGAGGTTGAATTGGACTGCGAAGACTCCCTATCAGAACCTTGATGACGATGATGATAGCGCCAGTAAAGAAGAGGAAGAATAGCTACACATCCAGAAGCATAACCCACCACCCAAACAACCAAAGGGGCATGCGGATGTTCATGCCTTGATAAAGCCAAAACAACAATAGCTGCAATTATTTGGCTCACGGTTAAAACTAATTCAACAGATATCCATATCCCAGAACTCAATGGGCTTCTTTGGCGGTTACGTCCATTTTCTCTTCGGTTTAATGATGAACTTCGTATGTTTGAACCTCCTCTAGAAGTAGAGAGGGAAGGCTGAAAAACAGGAGTCCTAGTACTAGTAGAAGGCAGATTATCACTCTGCTGCTGCTCATTGGATACACGGTTATGGGGTGGGTTAGAGGAGGAAGCCTCGCTGCTGCTTCTAATATCAATAACATGATCATTGCCAACAGAGGCAAGACTGCCTGCTCCCTCCATTGGAAACTTGCTGGTTGGGATTTTACGGTGTCGACCCAGCAAAGGAACAGCCATGCAAGTCCAACCACCAACAAAGGTACACAGGAAACATGGGGATCTCAAAAGGAAAAGCCACTTTTTCAATCAGCAAGTGTATACCTTCGCTCACTGTGAAAACAATTACAAAGTTTCAGATCATATGCTATTGGTCTGTGGGCAAACTATCCTCTCCTGAAGAAAGCAGATTGAACGATACTACAATCCCTCGCATATATTTACTTCAATTCTAAACCCATTTCTCATGAATGTCACATCCTGGCATGATTATGAGCAAAATAATTAGAAGATCACCGCAGCATGGGTCACTTATCACTAACTATGCATCATGAACAGAAGTAATTCACTTCCTTCTCAACATCAAAATAAACTTCTCATACTTTTAGAACTCTACATAAGACTCGAAAATTACCCTCTATATACTGAAGCACCTTCTGTCTTCCCTAGGCACATTCAGAAACTTGATTGATCACAAGCTAGCTAAACAAACAAATTTAGACGACCCAGTGAACCACACAATATCTTAACCAGAAAAATCCCATTACATCGCAGAAGATAACGATCAAAATTGGAACAAAAATTCCCTTACCTGATTTCCTAGCTCGCTTTTAAGAGACAAAAGATTATGAACATCTATGATTAACTCACGAAACTCAATTTCAGCTACAACACTACAAAATTCATCGACGCACTCCAGTCTCCAGGATGAAAAAATCACAGCTAAGATCATACAAAAGAGAAAATCCACCTGACAATTTCATCGACGACTCATAAAAAGTTTGACCATATTCTTCAAAGTTCAAAACCCAGGAACCAAAAAGAAAACGAAAATAGAGCAAAAGGCAAGGACAACAGAACAAAACCCACAACAGAAAATGCCCAGAATTGAACTGAAATGCAAAAACCCATCAGCTGGGTTACTAGAACAAACAATCAGTAGCAATTCTCAAACTCATTTATCCAAATAAAACAAAAAAATTTAATGATAAATTTAAGCAATAATAAACCCATTTAGAAATGGGAATGAAGGAAGCTGAACTAACCAGTGCGTGGGCAAGGCAAAATTCCAAAGCTAATGATGAGACAAAAACAGGATTATCAGACAAAGAAAAAGGGATCTTTGATGCGAGAGAGAGACTCACTGTAGACTCATTCTCACTCGGTCACTTTTTATTTTTACGCTTCCTTTCTTCTTCCTCTGGTTCTTTTTTTCTTTTTTTCTTATTTTAATTTCTCTTTTTTAACTGTTGTGACGCCTATCAGTTCATAGGTGCATCATTCACGTTGCTTGGTCTGGTCAGCTGAGAATATTTCCAAGAATAATACTCCTATTTTATTATACCAGTAAGAATAGAAGAAAATACAAAACCCAGAATTTTATGCATTATTTTAGAGTTGTTTTATTCTCTTTAGAGAAGAAAATACTATTTATTAGTTGCATAAGACTTACAAACTCTTGCCTTACCTTAGTAATATTACTAGTATACATTTGTTTCCATTTCAATATTAATCGAAATATATGTCTCACATTTTGTTTCATCGAACGAATATATATACAACTATTTAACTGATATTTTTGTTGATTTTCATTCCCAACGTCTAAAAAATTACGGTATTTAGATACATAAAAGAATGTTGCTAGCTGATTTAACACCGGCATTGGTTGAAATTTTAGATATGAATCTCAAATGATCGGAAATGTAAAGCTTGGAAAAAATAACATCCAATGAATTGTATCTTAAGACAAAATTATTGTTGATTTAAAGAAGAGAAAAAGAAAAGGCTTCCCCTTTTGGGATGCCACAATTGTGGGAATAAGGGTTATATTTTGTTTCACCAAATATAATTTAGGACAAAAACAACTTAGCATGGCGTTGCCGTTGAGCTCAAGGAATTTGGATTCATTGTTATTGCCATAAATATAATAGGGATGATAAAGAGGTTTTTTCTCCTGTATTAATCATATACTTTGTCTTAATTGCTGATATTTTCTAACTTTGCGTTTGTTTTGTTCTAATTAATTACACTTCCTAGACAAGTTTTAGTGAGAAACTTTCTAAATAGATAAGTTTCAAACGTAAAACTTCTTTACTATGGCTACATATTACTCTTTCTTTCTGTCCCGAAGTGATTGTCCAGTTTGATATTTTACATTTTAATACGATATTTATTAAAAATGAGAATCCAAACTGGACAATGAGAATCCAAACTGAACATTAATTTTAGAAATTTTTATTTTATTAAATATTGAGGTAAACAAAAACTATCTTGTAAGATTCTTTTTCGGTGGGGTTTTTCATAATAGTTTGCAATTTCTTGTTTGAGGTCATACTCATTTTGTAAATCAATTTATCTACATCACCAAATGGATTTATGTGTTAATTTCACCCGAAATGAATAATTATGACGCAATGCAGCTGCTAATCATTTAAGCATCAGGTAGATTGGTTTTGCTAAGATTTGAATCTTGGATCTCATAACTAAAATCCAACAAAGAAAAAGAAGATGAAAATTTATTTTTAAAAAAAACATAACACTACAGTATTATGAAAAACTAGTTTTTAATGTCATAAAGCAATATAAAAGTGAAAATTGGACGTTCAAAACCGACATTATCACATAAACAATCAACCAAAAAATTTACCTCATATATTCCAAACAAATTGTGCTGTTGGATTTAGAAGATGAGGGGGGGCGTGCATTGGAGCTGATTTCTCGAATGTGAGCTTTCCAATCTTGAGAGATTATGCTGCATTTTGGCGGACCAAACACGTAGATCTTTAAAAAAGGACCACCTAGTTTATTAGTTCATCTATGCCGTTTTATTTGTCCACTTTGTTAAACAAAAAAGTAATGTACTAATATTGATCGTGAAGAACTGAAGATACAATTTTCTTATAGCAGATTTGTCTGTTAAAATGTTCGTTAAACAGATATACTGAAGCCATTGCACACCTGAGGGCTGAGGCATATTTCTCAAAGACATTTCCTCTATAATTTGATTGCGGCTCACAAGTCGAACCCAGAACCTTAAATGCTAGTATGATCAGTACTGAACGATCCATAAACAGTTTCATTGATCTCATTGAAAGATGTTAGTTGGTACTTCTCAGTGTCCACTACAATACCCCTTTCTCTTGAGCCCCTTCTTGGGCAGAGAATGGAATGATAAGGTCACAAAAACAAGACAGACCATAACAAAAGGCAATTACAGGTTTACACATTAAAAGAAAGAACCCAGAGCCTCAAGAGAGCCAAAATAAATGGTCAGTATCCATCTGCATCGGTTAGCTCTACTATCTGCATCGGTGAGCTTGAAATCGCGTGTTAACAACAGATGGAAGTTGCTAGAGGGGTTACCAGTACAGCGATATTTTCCACTACTGGCTGTAGACTAGCTGCATTTTCCAGGTGTTCCCATGCTTCCCTCCTCTTCGTTGCGGCCAAATTCAGTTCTTCTCTTTCTTCTTTGTAACGAGAGTGGCAGGTTACAAATAACGCATCATCGATCTCTTTAAACATGCCTCTTACATTTAAAGTCAGATTCAAAACAGCTGGATTCCAGTGGTTCTGAGCATTGTTCTCAAGAGCTGGGAGCAGGATAGGCAGTATAATCTCCCGGTTGTGTGCAATAAGATTCACAATCTGGTCATTGTTCCATAGGAAAAGAGCCCTTTCAGCTACCTACATTAGATTCAGAGATGATTAAATTGACCAACTGATCCAATTACGAGGAAAACAAGTTTTGGGACAATCTCTTAAAAGTGCATATGATTCAACTACAGCACAGCATTTACAGATAATTAAATTGGTATGATCTAACATTCTGTATTAAATTGTGAAAGAGAAATATGTTCTACACCAAATAGGTAACAAGATTAATAACTTTGAACAAGAATCTGTAACTGGGAAGAGGGGTTTAAATTGAGGACATTGAGACATTGAGAATCCCATGCAATGAATTTTTCTGTCAACTTGAAGCTTTATAGAGAACATATCACCAGAAAAGTGACAACTCCGGATACAAGAACTGATACAAATCTAACACGTCATCTTACTAAAACAAACATGTTTCAACAAACATGACTATTATTAAGACATGGAGGGATAATTGTTTTAGAGGTTAATTTCAACTGATGAAAAATCTATAAAGCAGCCAATTATCTCCCTTGTTTCTGTAAGGAGGGGAAGAATTAGGGTCCTAAAAATTGCTTACTGAGCCTCATTATCAATTACTGAAGCTGGATATTCTTGCAGCTAAAAAAGTATTGATCTCAAAGAGATACAATCAAGTTTAGCACTCAGAAATTTCATTTTGAATTTGCACAAGGAATAAAGCAAACCATATGGTGCTGAAATCTGATTAAAGATAGTTGAGAATCACTAAATCACATACTTATTCACCTCAACAACAAAGATATAGAAGCCTCTTACCCTCGTGTCGCAGCACTAAAACTGACTACCCAAACTGACTACCCATGATTCCCTCTGCACCCCTCCCCTTAACCTCTTAAATCTCTTGTTCCATGCAATTGAGGATGAAAATAAAGAGATGAAGGGGGGAAAAGAAAATGGCAACTTTCAAGTTACACATGAGCAACTCAAATTGATTACACCTTTTTCTGTAACAAGCTTAGTTCTTGCTCAAAATGTTGCTGGGGGTAAAAACGCAGTTTTCAGTTAAGCCTAAACAAGACTTCTGCATTATTGCGTTTTTTTTCCTTTCCTAAGGACAAGCAATAGGCTGCAGCACTTACATCTCTGACATTCCCCATCCTTCGAAAATGACTTTAGAACAAATCACATTGTGCCAATGATGCGAGAGAGGGAAGCACCACAAGGTGTCATGCAAGAAACTGGGATGTGTTATTGTATAAGGAACGGAAAGATTACCTGAAAGTGATAACTACTGATGCAGCTCCTGATCCGCCAAAACAATGGGACCATGACCTTTTGGAATTCCCCCATGTTGATTGCCTCAAGAATCTCTTCCAACTCACTCAGAAACATGACCTCCTTCTGGCTATTTGTTATTGGCCAGTACTTTAAAAGTCCCCTTATCACACCACTAGCTAACTTTGGATCCTTCTCTAGAAATTGTGTTATACAGTATGACAATTGCTGGAAATAGACTCCCAAAGATTTTGGCTTATGCAACGGTATTAGAGCCCTCCACAAAAAGATTTTATGCTCCTCCTTCAAAGGCAAGGCAAAACCAGTAATCACACTCCCAAAAATCTCCAACAGCTCTGCAATACCATTATGTTTTTCCGTCTCAAACACAAACCTAAAGAACAGATTGCTCATGCTCCTCCTTATAAAGGGCCGGTGGACCATAAACTTCCCATAAATCCTATGCAAAACAGCTTTCAAACATTCCCTTTCCCTCGGATCCTCCGAATCAAATAAGTCAAGTAACCGCACAATAAAGGAATGATTTAAATACTTCTTAGCCACCTTAGATTCCAAGGCAGACGAGGTCACAAACTTAAGCAACAACTCATACACAAGCTGCAGATGTGACCACGCAGGGTCAAATGTAGGCTCATCATCATCAGTTTCACTAGCAGCTAAACTGCCATTCTTCGACCTATAATTAGGCGGGAAGACTCGAAACAAATTCACAGCACACATTTTACAAACTACCAAAATAGCTGGTTCCGAGAATTTAACTGAATTAGATGATATGAATTCAATCAGTTCAATCAATGTAGCCTTTTTCAGCTCCTTCTCAAAGGTGTTTTTACTTGGATTAGAAAAATCAAACACTACACAGCAGAGACTTAACTTACTAATAAAGAGATTCATCTTTTCAGAGCTGGGCACGTCTTTGAATGGCAACAATGGCTCAAACCCTGCAACCATACTCGCAGGAAAAACAGCTGAAGAGGGCCTTTTGCACGCTGCCCCAACCTTTCCAGAACCAGAACTGCCATTTGGGCTAATGGGACCAGAAGAATTTGGCGACCTTTCTAGCTCAGCTGAATCAGCTTTCGAGGGAGATTTTCTTGGGATTCTACTCAAAATTTGCTTCAACATTTTCTCCTACCCTCAAACACAACAGCAAGAACACAAGTAGAATTATTCGAGCAAAGGGGCCGCAATGCAGGCAGTGAATTTCAAAACCCCAAAGCTAAATCATGTTTTGGTGTGGCAAAATTGGGAATCCGAACACAAAATGTAGTTGGTGGAGATGGGAGAAAGCTCAGATCTTTGAGCAAATAAATCCACAATTAAGGCTAATGGGTTCAACAAAACCGCCCAAACTCAATGGAAGAAGCCGTAACCTTTCTGGGTCAAAGAAAGCAAGCAAAATTGAGGAGCTTTTTGCATGCACATTACATCAAAATAGAAAGAGGAAGAGGAAAGAGACCGCCAACCATAATTAGGAGATGGGGGATAAAGGAATTGGTAGAAAGTTCAGATCTTGATCTGAGAAGTTGGGATTACAACAAAGAAAGGATCTTTACAAGGAAAAAGAAAAATTTAAGGTGAAAACAAAAAAGGGGTTGGCAAAGAGGAAGGAAGGAAGCCGTTTTCAATGCAACCAACCCACATTGGATACCTAGGAAGAAGACAGGTTGAATCTTATATGAATGAATTTCCATAAATATATCAGTACTTAAATATTGACAGCCATAAATACATATTCCTCAGATACAAATACAAATAGGAGTGGTGTTTTTACATGGAGGATGCTTGTTTGATTTCTTTTATTTTGGGGAAAGAGATTGGAGAAGATTCATGAGATGAGATACTAATAATGGAGAGAATAAACCAAAATCTTGAATTTGTATGGGAAAGAGGAGAGGATTAGATTCCTTTTTTATTCATTGTGAGAGAAAGAAAGAGATGGGAAATTTATTCAGATCTTCACGTGCATGCGGGGTACAAGAATTATTGTCCATTTTCCTCCCTTCTTATAACTTTTTAATTTCTCTTAGATTATCATTCCAAAATTATTTTTTCTGTTAAATTATTATTCCACAATTAGGTCACAAATATTTGACATTTCTGTGTCATTTTTCTCATATAAGAATTATTATTTTTTTGGCATATATGAGCACACGAAATCTTACTTGTGCGGATTGTTTCATATATATTAGGTTCTCTCCCATGCGTTCCACGAAATATATTAGAACGTATTATTAAACTGATTATTAGTTGTGAAGAAAATACCACGTACTCGATTAATGGTTGATCATGAAATAGAATCTAAAGGGGAAAAAATAGATGATACAAAGAATAAGTGAACAGTAAAAAACGAGGTAAAAAAAAAGTGTGAAAATTAAATGGTATTAATATTATTATAATTTAAATTTCTATGAACTTAAAAATAAGAAGAATGTTTTATATGAATTTTTCTCGTAATTCTATCGTTAGATTTTAACTTTTTTTTTAATAAAATAGATATTACAATGATTAAGTTTAAATATAAGAAAAATGCCTTACTTGGATTTTCTCGTCATTTTTTCGTAAAATTTTAACTTTTTTAGAGAAAAAAAAAATTGGTATTAGAGTGATCCCTATTAGGCCTCAATAAACCTCTATTTCTGAAAAAAGCCTCAATATACCTGCACCTCAAAATACAAAGAGAGCTGCTTCAAAATCTCCAGTTGTAGCAGAATCTCCAGTTGTTCATTCGGTTTCTCATCCTGTTGTTTCCTGAAAGAGTACTCAATCACCAATTGTCTCTGAAAATCCCATAGATTCATCAGATACTCCTGTTGAATCTCATAAACAAATTCATGATATACCAAAAGTTTCTAGAAATGAAACCCCTAATGTTGTTCCTGCAGTGCCAATTGTTTCTGCAACGACGACTGTTGGATCTGAAAACTCTAATGTTGCTCCTGTAGTCCCAATAGTTGCTGCAACAACAAATGATGGATCTGTTGCCCTAATGATGCTCTTCCAGTCCCAAATGTTGCTGCACTAAGGTACATTGAAGATATCAATGGGCTAATTCCAACCAAAACCAAACATTTTCCAAATATAAGTTCGTGTTATGACTATTTGGAAAATGTTAGATCCTAAAAATCAGAAGAATGTCAAATCTATTGGTCTGTCATAGATTGATGCTCAAGTAATACATGACATAATGATTCATTCATTTTTTGTAACAGTCTGCTAAACAACTAAATGATGGTTTAATACAACCAATTTGAAAATCTGTTTAGAAATACAGGGATCCAAAATACATGCTACTATACCTGCCAGGTTAATGAAGGATTTCATCAAGTACTTTCAAGTGGAGGGTTGTGTCGAGAGGATATCACGTTTTGATCATGGGCTTAACATCAGTGAAGGATACCGCTGCTCAAAGCATGAATACAAAATTATTTTCTGACCTGACACAATTGTTGAAAACGTGATTGATTTAACATTCCAGATTATGTTTTTGAATACACTCCATTTGTAGAAATCAACAATTTCGTTGCAAATTTTGACTTCTGCTGTGGTAAGCAAAAAAACACACATGATTACATAGTATTTGGAAAATTATTATATAATTACATTTTTAATTTTTATATCCAGAAATTGGTTATATCATAATTAACCATCATTCCTTTAATTCAGATTTGATAGGACGCATCATTGGCTACAGTGATCCTATTGTTGACAATGGTAAGAAGAGGATTTATGTAGAAATGGAGGATGAAAGGTAATATTTACTACACTTTCACTTTTATCTGCTTTTAAAAACCATGCGTAAATATTCCTTATCAGTACTAGAAACTGTATATTTAATATATTTACATATATGCAGAGCTGATAGGTTGAAGGTGACATTATGGGATGAACATGATGACGTGTTCACCACATTATGACACATAATCCTTACTATCCAGTTGTCCTGATTGTACAATATGTAAAATGCAAAAAATACTATTGTAAGTATTTCATATTTACATTATACATTATTATTGATTTATTTAATTTTTTTAGCGAGTTAAAAAAATGACTTATTCCTGATGTGATACAGCTAAAGTTTCAATCATGACAAACCTATTCAATGGTAGGATACATGTTAATGACATGAGCATTCCAGATATTGAAACAATTCCAAGTAATGTGACATGAATCCCATACTACACACAGTTGTATTATGGAACAGATTGATAATATCATTAACTTGCTTACCTTTACAGGCTACATGATGAAGATATTAAGCTTGCAAGTGTCCAGAAGATCTTGATAATATCTTCCATTTCATGTTACACCAACTATGAGGAATTTGTCAAAGATGCAGAGATGATGTCATTAGCTGGAATTGAAGAATTGGATCAGGTAACATGTCAAGTTATCCTGTTAAACCATAAAATTAAAAATGTTGAATATTACATATGGTAAATTATTGCCTAACCTGTAATGTCATTATTTCCAGGCTTGCGTCATGGTTGTATTTGCAAAGATCTCGAGACTAGCAAAGGAGTATGACTGGTCATACACAGGATGCAGCATGTGTAACAGTAAGGTTGTTGAGGTAGAACCAGCTGGAAAGGATAACATTAGTGGTGGACATAAAAAAAAACATCATTTCTCAAGAGTGGAAAGACAGGAAATGAAAAAGGCAATTGGATTATTAAAGAAATGGATGTGTAAAAACCATGGACCTGTTTCTGCTGTAGCTCCAAAGTAGATATACTTTATTAACATATTGCCTTTTCTTAACTGCTTATATAATGTTTAATTATAATTTTAATTTCATTACTTCATTGTTTTAAACTAAAGAATACATTCCAGATTTAAGTTGTAGGTTTACGTAGTTGATGGTTCAGGTAGCAGAATTGCTACTCTTTGGGACAGGATGGTGTACAACTTCACAAACAAGAGTGCTGCTCAACTTTTGGATGAGGTACGATTTATATAACTGTAAAGATTCTAATACAAGATTCTAATACAAGATTCATAAATAAGACTGATACTCAGCTATTTGATGTCTTTGTATCTGGTTTATTATTTGGTTATTATATATTTTTACCTGACTCTCATTTATAATACTATTATTAGGGTCACGAAGATTATCCTGATATTCTAGAGGAAATTGTGGGTAGGAAGTGTCTTTTCAGGCTCAATGTATCTGACTATAACATCAGAAACAACACCAGTGAGATATCAGTTGCAAGGATTTCAACTGATCCTGACATTATCAAGAAGTACCTCAACGTTGTTTCTGATGATCAGGTTATTTACAGTGTTATAGTTATGTTCATACCCATATACCTGACCTATTTATTACTTCGTGTAATTATTTAATAAATTTACAGGACATTGATCTTGAGCTAAGCGCTGAATACTATCACAATTCTACCCTAATGTCTGAGAGCACTGCTAAGGTATTTAAATTGTATTTTGATATGTTACCCAAAAAAAAAAAAAAATCAAATCACTAACACTAATCAACTTTTATTTACTTACTTTTTGTTATATTTGAAGACTGTCATTTCCTGCACTGACGAAACCGATATGGGAGCCCCTGGTGATGAAACAACTGATAGTCCTCCTCCAAAAAAGTTTCCAGCTGCACAAGATGGTGAAGAAAGTGTCAGGTCTTACACCAACAAACGTGTCAGGAAGCTGTGATCAATATGACAGCAATCATAATTTCCAAAGTTTTCACACAATAAAGGATGCATCTTTATATATATCTAGATGTTTCCCTTTTCAGAAGATATATTTTTTTGAGAACTTTTTTTCCATACCGTTTTAGGCCTTGGACCAGTTTACTTGTTAGGTTTCTAACAGGGTTTTATTATTCAGTATTTGGTGTTATTCAGTACATGTTTTTATTAAATGTCGATTTTCAAATCTGCAGTTTTTTTAAAAAAACTGATTATCATTAACTGTTAGTGCCTTTATTTAGTTTATGTTACTGTAACATTTACTGCATATAATAAGTACTATATAGATAGTTAAAAAACTATGATATTTACCTGTAGCAATTAATCCCTATACTTCAGGGATATGAAAAGGTTTATTCACACGAACGCATTAATTATAAAAATAGTATATAAACTACCCTTCTTACTCATTTTTCCTTTAGCAATACAGGTTATAGGGTACTATACTATTCAACATAATTATAATTTTACATACAGGGTTTAAAGATGGCTAGAAATTGCTTTGTCCTGGTCGAAGAAGGTTTTATTCTCTATCAAATAATTTGTCAATTCTCATAAAATATCAACAACATATTTAAATTTATGTGTTCTGTTTGAAAAAACTTATCAATCTCACATTAAGTTTTGTGTGTAGGAATTCCCTCTCCTTGAATCTGTTTCACAGGATCATTAAACAGGGGATGAAATTGTTTTAAAAACAACAAGAGTGCGGTTCTAACCAATGGAAAACTGCAATTATGTGCTGTTGAGATTCATGGAAAGAATTTGTTTCTGCCCATAAGTTGCTTACAAGATATGGTCTATATTTTGTTACTGAAGAAATAGGCATATTTCAAGTGTCAATTTTTGACCGGAATTGTACTTTGATAGAGAATTCAGTCCCTCTATTAACATGGAAGTACTTGAAAGACATACAAGATCATAGGGTATGTTTATTTTCAAGATCTTTATTTACCATGGTTTTTATATATGTCATCCCATAGAAGATCAAAGCCAAATTAATTAATTTGTTATTTATGTTCAACATTCAGATCATACCTGCAGCTTTTAGTCATTTGTTGATAGAAGATCATTCAGTGAATCATCCAGCAGCGTCATTCTGGTCTCTGAATTATGGTCAGTATGCTTGTATGATCAACATAGCCTATTCAGAACAAGGCAACGGAAACAGTGTTATTTTGGGGGGTGCAAATTGGCGCACTTTGGTGAGGGATCATCAAGAGTCTTTCAATGATGCTATTTTTACCATCATACATTACAGTGGAGTTATGGGTATTAAAATTGAGTTTTTAAGAAGAATGGTAAACAGATTGACTGCCCAACAACTATTACACCCAAAAACTGTTTCCAGTTCATTACCGCTGGTAATTATGCTAAATCTAAATCAATTGTAATTATTGTTACAATATGTTCATACGTTCAAAGTCTTTTTTGTCTAACATCTATATTCCTGAGTTTATGTCTTTATGATTTAAAACTCATGTTACAGAATGTTCCAAGGCATTTCTGGAAGCGACATAGAAATATATTGTATTAGAGGTCAACTATTATATATACACATGCAGGATCATGTCCTACGCAGTTTCAGAAGTCATATGATCCAGTATACAGATCAAAGAGGCTGTCTCAATTGAAGTTACCAGGAAACTGGGAGAAATAATTCAATGATAATGCAATAGTTAGTGGAAGCATATGTAATTTGCTGTTGGATTTATATAGTGTCCAAGTAGGCAAAAGTGATGTTAAATTTACTCTTGGTGTAATGAATTTCTTTGGTTTTTTTTAACTGATTTCGACATAAAGATGTTTCATTTGGTTTTATCGTATTCCTGACATTGTAATTTAAAATTTGTGAAGGTATTCATTAAGTAATATTATTTTTTTGAGAAAACTGCATTTAACTGGAAATTCTTATTCTGATAAAAAAAAAAAAATCAAACAATGACATGAAGGTGAATGGTTTATCTTTACTGACAATGAAAACACTGTTACATACATAAATGTATCCGGATTATACTTGTGTGATCATTTTTTAAATGAAAAGTCAATAATTAATAGCATAATAATTATTAAAGATAAAAGATAAGGACATGGAATAGAAAAGATTTATTATGATAACACCAAATGAAATATTAACTAATTATATGTTGAATAGTTGCCATTTAGTACAACTGTAAATACAGAGTTTCAATTGAAACAGAATGTTTAACCGACCATTCAGCTCCTGATTTCTTGGTTAATTAAATAGGTTTTCAATACAGATACAATTGATTATGTTCACATGCATCCCCATCTTAATCGTCCCAGAAGTCTTAAATAGTTATTCAACAGAGACAGACTCCTTATATATTCACATACAATCCTTCTTGATCGTCCCCAAATTCTTTCAATCTGGTTTGCCCTTAACATTCAATTAAGAGCACAGAAAATTAACAAGTTCCCATGGAGTTCGGTTATGATCAGGTGATTACTGTCCCAATAGACTTTCGAAGAAAAGGTTTGGTAAGTCATCAATAGGGTTTCAAATTGTATCAAAATTACTCCATAATTTCTAAACTCCATATATATTTCAAATTGTATCAAAGTTACTTCATAATTACTGAACTCCATAAATATATATATCAACATATCCTTAGCAGTAACCTTATTGCTAATTTGAGGCATGTTGGACAACAGATCAGGATTGAAGTCCCGCAGAATCGAAGTGTTTTTGCAAATATACATATTAGTAAAAAAAACCATATGTCAATTGTGGGGAGCTACTTTAGAAGGATTATTTGAATCAATCGATGCATCTCCTCAAACTAAAATACATGTTGTTTATCATAAACAACAACATGTACTGCAGATTTTTCATTTTTATTCTGATGGGAGACAGCGCCTCACAACAGATCCACAGGTAGGTATTGGCAATCGTTACCTTTTGGAATTGAATGAAAACGTGGTCGTACGATGCGTAAGTTTTAATGATCAGACTCCTATATGTTTATAATATATAATTTTTTATTACTATAAATTATTTTACATGTATTGTATTTTGTTTTCAATCATAGGCTATTAACGGACATTACTTTAAAGCTATAAATTGGCCTTCAGATCAAATGCTTCCTTTGGTGATTAATGACAATAAGAAACAGTGGAATTTTCAGTTTTATACCCTCAAAACGATCTGGCAGGTCTTGAAGGCCCTATGTGGGAAGAATTTCATGATCTTTACTTCAATCACTATAAATGTGTAAATGTTATATTCATTTATTTGGCAAATCTATACTTTAAGGTAAGGGTTTTCAACGCGCAAGGTTATTGCTTCAATCAACATCAGAATATTGAAGGTTCAGATACTTCTGAAGGTTTGTTTACGTTATTTAACAAGTTTATTAAGATTATTTTCAATTTTATTAGAATTGTCTGAGTTTCTATGTGTCTATACAAAAATATTAAAGATTCAGTTTGTTCTGTCACATGTGCGGTTGATATAATTAACTACATAAGGTCCAATGGTGATCAAAATACCTTCAATGTAGTGATGACTACTGATGTAATTATCTGTGGCAGACTGGTAAAAATATTTACAATTTATGTACTTATTACGTAACTATCTTGAAGTCTAACAATAGTAATATAAATTTAAATATTTTATTATGAATATAAATTGTACTTAATATAAAATGTATCACAGGAAATACCATGGCACATTGTCAGAAGACTGGATATTCAAGACTATTAAATGTTGATCTTGTACTATGATGGAGAGCCTATGATCAATATGTTTCGTTACAATGAGTCTGACAATCCGAAACGTTTTGTTGTTCAAGGAGACATCAAATACATGATGGACCTGAAAAATATACCTACTGGTATAAAGCTTGGATTTCGTATAGATGCTCGCAAGGCGGCCAATAATTATAAGGAGTTGTTGATATTGGAAGTTCTGTAATTTTTATTAATATTTTTTTTTAATTCCAATTCGAACAATAGCCTTTTCTACAATGTCTGCATTAATAAGGTTTATGCCAAATCGTTCCAATTATGAATCAAAGTTGTTAATGGTTTACTTATATCAATAGTACATTTGGTATTTTAAAAGTTAAGTGAATATTATATGATGTTTTTGTAGCAATCAATTTAATTTTGGAATGTAAATATGTCAACAATCAATTTCATTCATTAGTTGGTGTGTACTTTTACCAAAAAATGTCAATAATAAGATTTCATTCACATTAATATTCACTAAAACGTTAAAGTTTGGTAAATATGTTATTTTATTTACTAACTTGCATTACACAATTCATGTAAATACAAAATTACCACATCTTAATGAAAGTGTTAAGAAAAAGTTAAATATTTAACAAACTACATTTTATTAATATGTAATTGATAATTATCAAAATGATTCCATCTTTATCATTTTTATTTAAGTAAACTTATTTAACCATAGCAATCAACAGTAGTATACAATCCCTATTAAAACTCTTTTTGACAAACATACTCCAATATCTTCTCTCTGTTTACTCATATATTATTTCACATTACATGATTACTTCCATTCATAAACTGAACTGATAATTTTATGTACGATGATGAAGAAGTCTGATCCAAAGGCTGCAAGGTTGCTCAGAAAGCAGATATTGGACAAGAAAGACATAGAATTCGCATACCTATAAGATTAAAGAGGATTAATGTTCCAATAGTACTACCACGGCCTGATTCATTGACTGCTAAGGATTCCAGGATTCAGAGAAAGAATATCTTAAATCATAGAAGATTGAGTGTAGCTGTAAATCAACAAACTGTAATCATTTCTACCAGGCGAAGTACTATTTCTGAAAAGGGTTCCCGATTGAAGAGGAAGCAACTTTTGGATAGAAGAAAGGGTAAAGTTATTCCTGATCAAGAAACTGTTACCCTTGGGGGTATTGTTATAAATAATTCAAGAAATGTTTCAAGCAAGTTTCCACTAGT